GTGGACAGCCCTGACGGACACCACTTGAATTTGAGAATTCCGATGACAGTTCGCCATAGGCTCTCACTCGACCAGTGGTTTTCGAGTAGAGTGCTTGTATAAGGTTAATGTACTTCTTTGGTACCCCTTTGATGACAGACACTGCCATAGAACCTCACAATCAACAGAGTCGAATGCCGCTTTAAGGTCGAGAAATACCACTGTTGTGGGGAATCTGAACGTGTGTCTTCGTTGTAGGACCTGGCGTAGTGTGGAGATGTGGTCAATACATCCACGTCCGTGACTGAAACCAGCCTGGTCTTATCTAGTCTGCTCTTCACGAGCACTAGTTAAACGTCTCAGTATAATCGGGACTAACAATTTAGAAACTATATTACTAAACTATACTTAAACATCTCAGGGGTAAGCTTATCAGGACCTGCTGCTCTACTTCGCTTTAGATTTTTTATAGCCTTCTCAACTTCATGTAGACTGGGAGGACTTAAATCGATTTGCCATTCAGGGTGACTGGGGACCGTGGGCAACCGAAGTGTGGCTGAAGACCAGTTAAACTGGTCCCTTAAATGTTTTGCCCATCGGTCCAATCTCCTGGATTAAGAATGGATAATAAGACCATCCTTTTCCGAGATAGTCTCACTCACATTCGGGTTCCTAATACCGGTTACTTTGATAAGACGGAAAAATTGTCTACTGTTGCCTATCGCCGCTGCCTTTCCATCGCTTTTCCTACCCACCTCTGTTCGCGGTCGTTACGTAGGCTTCCAATCGGTCTGCGCCTAAGCTGACCACGCTCTTCATCATGTTCAGAGTCAGGTGGGATGCGTTTTTGAGCATCCATCAGTTCGGTGGATGCGACTGAAATCCACGGCTTCATCCTAGCCTTATGGTTTACCTTGCTAGCAGATATCACTGCTGTTTCTACAGCCCTCATGACATCATTTCAACCTGACACTGGATGGGAATCGCTTAAATGGTCGCCTAACTGTTTTTCTAGTTCCGCCTGAAATGTATTCCTAGCTTTATTATCATTAAGTAAAAGCTCAAGAGGCTTTCTTACGGTGTCTTTCCTACGCTCAGTAAGCCTCAAACAAATACGAGCTCGCACTAGGGCATGATCCGAATCTAAACACGTGCCCCAGAACGAGCGGCAGTCCTCTATCGAACCCCCCCACCAGTGACTGGTGGCAATGTGATGTAGTTCGGTCCAATGTTGAGACGACTTCGGGGGTCGCCAGATGTTTTTCCTTATGCGTAGAGTTAGTGTTTGCTAGAAATAGTTGGTTATCTGAGCACAGTTGCAACAGACGGTAGCCATTGTCTGTTCTTTGAGCCGCGAGACCATAACATCCACCAAGGTGTCCTTCATTTTCACTTAGTCTACCTACCTGAGCATTGAAGTCACCACCATTATTACTACATCAGAGCGCTTAACTTTTTGGAGGAGGTCCGAAAGCTTTCTGTAAAACTCATCTTTTATATTCAATGGGGCGTAGGCTGATATGACAAAGAGGCAACGACGAGTGTCCCTTTCCTTTCGAATGGTTACTGTCCCGTTTATTCGGACGGCGCAAGAGCGACTATCTACAGGGATCCAGTCTAGGAGAGATTGTTCTGCCCTACAACTCAATGCTATACCTACACCAGCGAGGCCCCTGAAAGCGGCATCAGCGATACCGGATACACGAAGGGTAAATCGAGTTGCCTGATTTTCCTTACATGGTGAGGTCAAGTGAATGATGCTATTGGGATCCTGTATGCGCGTTTCCAAGACGCAGCACACATCGATGGCGCGAGAAGCCTGTTGCCCTATTTGACACAATGTCCGTACATTAAAAACTCCAACATATAGTCTAGAACAAGGTTTGAAGAGACCAGGAATGACGTTTCGTGAACTCGCATCGTTTGCGTTAGCGGTGCAGTGAGATAAGGGAATGTGAGTAGAGTTAGTCGTGGAGATAAGAGAGATGTTACGGGGTGTAGAAAGGATTTAATTGTGACCGATTTGGTCTCGCGTGTTGTTACGGGTATGACGGCGGTTGTCCACACCATGGAAGGTCGTTTCTTGAGGAACCTGAAAAGGAATATAGATTAGTGTCGGTTTTAGAGACCTGAGAGTGACTGCAGAGCCCAAGGGACAACTGCTTGAGGCCGGTCATGCTCGGCCTTTTTATGAAATGTTTTTTGAGGATTAGCTCCGTTCTTAAAGGCCCTTAGTGGGCACCCTTACCCAAGGAGACGGAAATCCGTGAGTTAGGGTAGGTGTGACATTTTTAGGGCCGACCTTTTCTAACCCTTCCTTCCTTGTGAGAAGACAGCATCGCTGCGGATGCTGGTTGTCCGAGGGAAACACCTTACTGCCGTCACACCCCTCTACAGTCAGCAGTACGACTTCGCCCTCAGACCTTGAGTAGCTGCTTTTAGTCTCATCGTTCTCCAATCGACCTGCCTGGCATGGTAGGTCCTGCAGGAACATATGTTGCAGCCAGTATAGCTCGGTTGGGTCATGACGATAGGCAAGCCCGACCACCACGTCAAGGTAGCAGCTACGGTCGTGTGTTAAGGATAGCAAGTCAATTGATGAGCTACTGAATCTTCATCAACCCTCGTAATAATGTTAAACTCTTTATATGTGGTCAGCTTTATGACAGATTAGTCGCGAGTCTTGCTTGCCTCTCCTCAGTCAATAATTTTTACCCACAGACGATTACTGTCATCAAATAGGACTTTAAAACCTGTGTATTTTGATTTAAAAAGTAAACCTAATAGATCAATTTCCAAAAGCTCAAATGAAAATCTTTTTTTTGGGAGAACATTCTTACATATCTAGGCGAAAATGCAGAAAGTAGATAGACCGTGAAAACAATTAAGTTTAATAATCCTAGTGTTTACTAGCTGATTTTGAATAATGCTTATCAACTGAAAAATCTCTCTCAGTTGTCTTCTACGTCATTGTACTTTGTTATATTGTTACTCCTCAACCGTACTTATTTTTTGTCCTTTTATTTCTCTTGCAACAGATTTCCGAGTTCTGAATTGTGCGTTTTGCAACAAAGTGTTTACTAAACACTGTAATTTGAACACACACATCAAAGCAGTCCATAAAGGTTAGGTTCTGTTATTGTGAATACTTTATATTGAGCTGTTTATATCCTATTTTTCTTTGATAAATATTCATTGCAAAGGTTGTCGGTCTTTTCTTATATTTTAGGTGTAAAACCGTTTGAATGCACTTATTGTTATAAAGGATTCACTCGAAACTCTGATCTTCATAAGCACATTGACGCTGTTCACAAAGGTTGGCTAGTGTTTGTTGATACAACTAAACTTCTTTTATAGGTCTCAAGCCGTTTGGATGCGAAGTATGCCAACGAAATTTCTCTCAGAAATCGAGTCTAAAACGACACATAGAAGCAATTCACGAAGGTAGGTTAAATCCCAAGAAAAATAAATTAGCACAAGAGTGCAGCTAGCTAATATCTGCTAGTTTTTTGGCGTATCAATTTTTTCGAATGATGGTTTTAGTACTCAAAGTTTTGGTCTAATATATTGTTATATCATTGTCGATAGATTTATAGGCATTTCGTTGACAAAACGTCTCTCAGAAAGCCTTTCCTACTTTTAGGTATGAACTTTGATATTATCACCTCTTCAGAATAAAGGTCTTAAATGTCAAGGTCTGTGGCTAAGTCCAAAGATATACCGTTAAAGACTTTCCCTTAGATAAACTAAAAATTACGGGAATACAACAGATTAACATTCATCAGTATCTACGCTCTTTTTTGATTTTAGGGATAACGAAAAACATAACTAAGCAATTAAAAAGTTTGTTGAATGAATGGATTTATTGAATCGAATAGTGGCTTCATGATATGGTTTCATATGTTAATATTTAGACCTATGGAGATATTTACTTTACATTGTATAAGTAATACTGCAAATTGGCAGAATACGGGTTTCCGGTTGGACAGATGAGTGATTGTACGAGTAATCCAACCAGGTTATGCATGTTGGTAGATGTAAACTGCCTCATTGGGGTCCGCGAGATGATAGTAACCGATGGTTAGAGATTTTGAATGACAATTCGTATGCAATGGCATAGTTGCATCCATTCTGTGTCCTCTCAAATCCTAATCTTTCTGAATATTGCTTATACTTCCACTACCTCAGTTGCTGTTAGATTTGAATTGACAATTCAATCCCTATACTAATGTGGTACGGCAACTTGAACTGCTTTACGTACGTACGAATTTCTACGTTGTTCATCACTGATTAGCATCTGTACTTTTTTTATGAAATGACAGAAAATCTAAACAAAACGTACAAGATATTTCAAACTCAAATCTGTTGCGTTTGAAAACCCTGTTAGCTCGTTAGGTAGTGGAAATAAATAGAGACCAAATACGTTGACTCGGTTATAAAGACCAAATTATATTACGTACCATTAACGAACAAGATATTCTGTTTCTCCCTAAAATACTTTGTGTTTGATATGGTGAAGAAAATTTGTAGCTCAGATAGATGGTTGTGGTTCCCGATCTCTGTGCTAATGCTATGCGGGAATTTGAACTTGATGTACTAAGTTGTACGTTGTAGCTAACTGGCTGACGCTGAAAGTTTCTCGAATGTTACTAACCAAGTACGACTATCAATCTTTCCGATGGGGTATACGCGATCTAAATTGATATCTATACTGAATTCTAACATTTATATCAACGTGAGGATTTTGGGTACTACGTCTTTTAATCAACTTTACTGTTTTTTTACAGATCCTCGGCATCGCTGAGAAAACCAGATTGTCTAATTCTTTCCAATTTCATATGATTTTATGTTCAAAAATATACATTTATTATTCTCTCAAATTTGTTGTTTTTAAATCATCCAGTCGTCTGATGTTTGAGAAATAGGTAACTAGACAAGAACATGATTCAAAAGTTTTATACCTGAATAATATATGAACTGTTAGATGCTACCTGTATGAATTATTGAATAAGGAGATATATTCACAACAATAAGCAAAGATACTTTATTTACAAAAGGTTTTTTATGTACATGGATTCTGACGATCCCCAGACATGTACAAGTTTATTTAGGGAGTTGTGACATCACACTCTTCGGGATTTTCAGATATACACGAAGAAACCTGAAATAATAACAATGGGTAAGACTATACTGCCTGTTAATTAGAAGGACTAGAGGACCACATGAGTTAGAAAATATGGAAGTATCTGGGAAGCCTAAATGAAATAGCTACCACAATCAGATAATCCGAAAACCGTGATAATTGCAGCAATTAGTCAATGTACTCCTCTCAACGCTATTGTATGCGGGCAAATGGTATTACTACGTTTACGGCCTACAAATTAAAGACAGTAACCTGTAAACTTTTGAATGCTCGGCCAATATGCTGATCCTAACTAGGGTCAGTTTTCCGAATAGTAATCACTGCCTCAATGTATACTTGGTCACCTTGGTGCATAGTTCATATACTCTTCAGCTAATTCAACATATGCGTACCAAGAACTACCGTGTATTGTCTACAGGATTTTAAAAACCTTTCACATTTCAATTTCGGTATCTGAGTTCCGCGTTTGTGGTCGGTGTTGTTTTTAAGCTATTTCCATCCTTCAGTTAGTAAACTAATTAGGCTAATAACATTTAAAAATGAAGGTAGCATGATTTAAGGTGTGTTTTCTTCGATTAGCTGATGACATATCCGAGCATAGCTCTGATTAGTTACTCTGAAAAATAGGATAAAAGTCTTAAGAACATATTACGAGGATGTAAGTACATAAAACTTATCTTACAAATCCTACAGATCTACCAAATATGTCGATGGAGCCCAAAACTAAGTCACTGATTAATGATCTTACGAAGAGTAGTAGAAGCTTAGGGATAATATATACCCATAGAATTTAAATGCAAACTTACCAAAGGACTTGTCATATCTCCAGGTGAAGTCATGTGTGCAACCTTTCTTAATAAATGGGGAAATAACTGCAAAGTAGATTGGTATTCTCGGTTCAGTTTGTCAAAGGCCTAAAATATAGAGAAATATACTGTAGTCTGAACTTTCAGATAGATAACATTGAGGTGCCATAATTTCCTATCGAGTATGTAGTTCCTGTCAGTAGTTAGATAAAACACCAGCAAACAATTAGGTGCTTTAGCTTAGTCACATAATACGACGGAGAACGGACAAGTAAGTTTATGGTACAAGCGTATCTACGTGACAATACCTAAGACGGGTTGTGTGTAGCAATGCTTTCAATCAAGAATATTCGCTGTGCACAATCAGATATTATTCTCATTCCTACTGAGGAAGTTGTAAGATAGTGGCCAAATTCAATGAAAACCAGCGAGTTCATACGGTATTCATAACGAGTGCATGGGTCAGTTGCAACCAGAACTCATTTATTTCTCATTCGACAAGAAAAATGGGGAATAAACAATACTTTTTTAGTACCGACTCCAAATTGAAAAGTCAGTTTGTACATTGACAAATTATTTGTAGTAGAAGTCCATTACACTTATTGAAGTTACCTATTTATCTCCTTTGGTCATCGATGAGCTACATATGATCTTGACCGACTAACTTTTAAATAGAAAATAAAAACTTTTACGATGCTAATGAAAACGAGTCATTTGCTGGACACCAAGCATTAGCATCGGTCAGGATGTTCCGCATACAATCGAGAAAGAATATTTGTATCGAGGCATTTAATTACAATGAACAAGTAAGGTACGCGAAAATTACTCACCTGTCTGAAATTATCAAGCAAGCGGGTTTGTGCTAATAATTTTTCTTGTAATATGATGACCTTTTGATTGAGTTCCTTAATGTTACAAAAGTTAATTGTAAAAAAAAATATCAAAAATACGTGATTTAATAGGATGAGGTTACATTTTTGAAACAACTTCAATAACAGTGGGTACTTATTACACACTGAACCTTAGAAGCACATTACAGTAACGTTCTTACTGAGATACCGTTAAGAATAAGCAGATGATGTATCTAAACTGCATTTAGTCATTAGTGATGAACTAGACAACCAATGCTGAGCGCAAAACCTTGGTTCTCCGTATTGTCATTAAGGAACCATGAAACATTCCTGCGTATAAAACGATGGGGAACATGGCCATAGCAAATTATCCTATACAGCACCCAGAAAGGCCAAGTAACAGTTCAGATGGTTTTTAGAGATCTCTTAGTGATCACATAATTTCATGTTACTCCTGAAAATGTTCCGTAGTACTCACGACTTACTTCTACTTTCAAGTTTTCTGACTTGACAGATTTCTTTGTCTAAAATTGAAATTTGAAAAACAGTTTAGTTAACTTATCAGATACAAAACAGCATATATCTCAATCAGCGATATTGTAAGCGATCCTTTTTAATGTCCTATGCTTAAATTCAACAATACTTTGGTGTTTTAGCATATGCACGCTGTTTTGAGAAAATCTATGATCGAACACTAGCAACCTATGCAAGCTTCTGTCACTAGGACGTCGTATAACAGACACAAAATGGTAGAGATTAGTGCAGCGCCATACGCTTGCCCACGTCTTTATTAAGCAATGAGAATCAGTTGACAAACACCAAACATGTCTATTAACCTTGTATGACTAACTGTCAACGTCCAACGGCTTCACATTCTGTAGCTAGGTTACAAAGTGATGTAGACCAAAGCCGAAGGGATATGTTCAGAGAGAATAAAATACATGCTCAACATTCAAATTTTAGCCGAAAATGTCTTCGTTATGCTAACTTCATTACTCAAAGTACCTAAAAATATCTCCGGGCAGTTGATATCTGCAGAAGCAAAATTGTGACAAGAACTAGAAACAATCAGAATAAATAGCTCTTACAACTACCACTCAACCTATGCAGCACGGGGAATGACTCATTTAATTTAAGTCAGTGGATATTACAGTCGTGCATTACGCGGTTTCCCTGAAACCAGAAACATATTCAGAGACATATATTTGATTAATGCATCCTTAGTCTGTTTCGAAATACACTGAGTAATGGTAAAAATACGAAATTACTGATTGTATTAATGAAGACTATTAATCATCATCGATGTGAACATTTCTGATATTATGACGTAAAGTACGTACATTCGTATCGTAGTGACTAATGCCTTTTATGTTTAGGTTGTATGCAGTTAATCAAAAACCGCGAAGCAAAAATGAATTCATGTTATTCTCCCACGTTTGTTGCTCTTGCTGTATTCATATTTAAATGGGAAAAACTGTATGGGACTATTAATACGCTGAATATCTTAAGGAAAATGAATTTCCACGAAACGGTTTTCGCTGATTTTTTATTGCTCAAGAGTACAAAAAACTGAGCTATTTATTTTAGAGATAACCATCTCAATACCTCATAAGCTATTAACACAAATAACAGCGTATTTAAAATAATACTGACATTGAAATGGGATAAAAAATTTAAATACTTGACTGATAACGGTGCAAGTTTTAGAATGATAAAAATGATTCATTAAACAAGTTTTACAGAAACCTACCGAATTTTGTATAGATTGCAAAATACACTTCAAATTGGCTATCTGATCAACAAGCTGGCAATGAGTACTAGGACTACACAACAAAGAATGGCCAACAGAAGTAGAAACTTCGAAAGAACGTGGTGAAGAAGTTTGTACGTCCGCTTTTTCCAACTCTCCAAAATCCACTTTGCCTTCATGAATCCGTAATGGAGTACTGATGAAAAATGATAAATTTCAGAGAAACAGATATCAAACCATACTTAAATATTCTCAACAGATATTATGCAACATCGTTGTATCGATTAATCGATATTTTTATTGCAGTCAAACTGGTTAGAAATGATTATTCAACTGTATTTTAGCAGTAGCGATCGTAATGTTTTTTACTGACATATCCACGAGTCAATGAACAACATCAACTGCCCACCCTGAGGCAGCTAGAAATGATATCCATAAAACAGTGGAAACCGCGGTGATGACTACCAGAAGGTTAAACCATGAGGTTAAGGAGAAGCAGTGGAGTTCGGTAGCATCTACCGAAATGATAGATCCTCGAAAACGCTTTTCATCTGGCCCTGAACATGCACAGGAGCGGAATCAGCTAAAGCGCAGGCTGATAAAAATCCTACGCAATGATCGCGATTATCGGTTGGTCGCAAAAGCAAGAGCGATAGAAAAGACAGCGATGATAGGCAACAGTAGACACCTTTTCCGCCTTATAAAGGAAACCGGTATTAGGAATACGACTGAGACTGAATAACAAAGACTGCACAAAGACACACATTCGGACGTCCGACAATAGTTGTATTTCTCAACCTGAAGGCAGCATTTGACTGTTGGTCGTGACGAACTATTGCAGTGTCTGTCATTGAAAGCGGTACCAGAGAAGTACATTAACATTATACAAGCTCTCTACTCGAACACCACTGGTAGAGTGAGAGCTTACGGCTAATTGTCATCAGAATTGGTTACTTCGAGTGGTGTCCGTCAGGGATGTCCACTTTCCCCATTCTTGTCTATCTTTGTCGTTGATGTGCTTTCAGATACGACACCTGCATCATCTGACTTTTCAGCAGTTGATTTTTCACCAGGAGATTCGCTTGTTGACTGTGGTATGGCAACTTGAACTGATGTACGCACGAAGTTCTATGTTGTAACTGACTGACTAGTTCCATAGGAAGCTAAACAATGTAGTTCTACATATCTATAACTTCATTCTACAATTAACAAAACGTTTTTTACTTATCATGTATGAGAGGAACAGATCAATGCCACAATTCTTCTTTTAAGAAAATTGAGCGACAAATTTTGATGAAACAAACATCGTTTAGTCAAGTAATAACAGTCTTAGAATCACCGAACAAAGAAAAAGGTTATCAGTAACAAGACTGTTGTATCGCAAAAAAAATACACCGACTTACATATAACTGCACTAGTCTAACATATGTTCATAAAAATCACTGTCAACATAATTGATAACAGACAAAACTGGATAGAACTGATCAAAAAATTATTTTATGTTTTGAATAACAACATGGTGAGTCTGATAATGTGCCAACCAATAAAAATAGACTGTGTCGTGTATGAAGAGTGCTTTCAAACTTAGACAAATAGTTATCAAAGAAACAGGTCATTTCTTTATTAATAAAACATTTTCCCTCAACAAACTATTTACAACATAAGTAACGGGAACCTTACATAGTATTTGTACTATTAGGATCGGATAGAGCTCTTTGGAATGTTAACGATCCCATGTCCACTTCTGATGTTTGCGTTGATTTACACTGTACAGATGTAACGGCTTGGGCAGACTGGTTCCCAATGAACGAGTGACGATCAGTTAGCTTCCTTCGGAAAAGACGAAGATTGAAAGATGAGATAACTATTTTCATGAACGAACAATATATAATAAAAAGGTATAATATGTCATGATACTTAGTTAATAGATTTCAGATGGAAACCCAAATGTATAGCAAATTAAAAGTATACAGATAGCTTTTAACGGCAAATATATTCTGAGTACTTATATTTTTAGTGAAATAATGAACATGAAAATTTAACCAAACTACCAAAATCATGTTCAACAGTAGGAAGATATTTAGCTGCCTTATAAAATTTCAATAATAGTAAATTTTTGAGAATTATCTTTGTTTAATAACTCACCAAGTCGTATTTTCGAGTATGATGAAAACATTGAAACACTGAAAGTTTATACAAGTTTGCTGATTGAACTAAAAAGTAAACTCATTGCTAAATAGGATTCTGTTAGATGAAATGAGTTATTATTGTGAGATCTAAACATAACATTCGTAAGCTATTTTGAACAGTACGAGTATAATGGAATGAGACATATAGAATTGCAGTTACGATGTTAACAGGTTAACCTGTACATCACAAACTAATATTAGCTAGACAGCTACTGGAAATCATAGTCAGCTAGTGTAGTGCTCCTTAGTTTCGAACAATTTTCTTTTCAGATAACAGAAATTGCTTTCACAACTAATACACAAAAACGATACCCAAAACACAATATGTAATTTAACAAACTAAGATGATATAATGACAATTTATGAAATGAACTGAGTGATTTTTCTGTTGGTTGAGCTATTCTCGAAAAATTTTAATGTTTAGTGCACTACTTCTACAATGCTGTCTTAAAAGAAGAAAAGGACATATCCGAAGAATTAACACTTTTAAAAAACATGATCGAAAAATTCCAAAAGTACCGTTTCTAACATTTTAACTGATGGTATTTTGGTTGAATTATTTAAAGTATTCAAATCATTTTTTGTCTGGAAATCGGATGTAACTTTGTAACAATTGATCTTTATGGGATTTAGCTGCCCAAAACAATTCTAATCTGGACCAAATTCAGGACTGAACCCAACCGAAGCTGCTACCTTGACGTGGTGGTCGGGCTTGCCTATCGTCATGACCCAACCGAGCTATACTGGCTGCAACATATGTTCCTGCAGGTTCTACCATGCCAGACAGGTCGATTGGAGAACGATGAGACTAAAAGCAGCTACTCAAGGTCTGAGGGCGAAGTCGTACTGCTGACTGCAGAGGGGTGTGACAGCAGTAAGGTGTTTCCCTCGGACAACCAGCATCTGCAGCGATGCTGCCTTCTCACAAGGAAGGAAGGGTTAGAAAAGGTCGGCCCTAAAAATGTCACACCTACCCTAACTCACGGATTTCCGTCTCCTTGGGTAAGGGTGCCCACTAAGGGCCTTTAAGAACGGAGCTAATCCTCAAAAAACATTTCATAAAAAGGCCGTGCGCGACCGGCCTCAAGCAGTTGTCCCTTGGACTCTGCGGTCACGCACCAACACTAATCTATCTTCCTTTTCAGGTTCCTCAAGAAACAACCTTCCACGGTGTGGGCAGCCGGGAAGTGACAACCGCCCTCATACCCATAACAGCACGCGAGACCAAATTGGTCAAAATCAAATCCTTCCTACACCCCCTAATGTCTCTCTTATCTCCACGACTAACTCTACTCACATTCCTTTATCTCACTTCACCGCTTATGTAAACGATGCGAGTTCACTGAACCATTGATGTACACTGGTAAGAATGTTCGGTAGAATACAAAACCGATTAATTGCATGCTTATGTTTTTATCATTATTTTTTAAAAATTGTCCATTTGGTTTAATATATTAATCTCTTACGGACAGACGTATCTAATGTAAAGAATTCTGAGAAATCGAATATTAATCCAAAAAGCAAGCTTTAGCAACTAAGTGAATGAATGAAATTCAGCCATAATGAGCTGAGATTTGCGTGAGGACTTTAAGAGATAACTAATCAATACCTTTTCAATTGAAGGACACCTTCTTCACGAATAGAAATTAACTCTCTCAGTTTGGCTGCTTCATATGCTTGACATGTTCCGGATTCAAACATAATTGAAGATGCTTTTTGTCGTAAAATACGTATTTCGGACATTAATTCTATCAAAAAAATTTTAAAAATATTAAAATATAAGCACATGGATCGTAAATGAAATTCTTCCCGAATAAAGTAGCATATTTACAGTAACTTTTTTAAAGCACATGTACAAAAGTGATTATTATATCTTATCACTCAACAAACCTCTATTATACTCTCCAAATTATGTGTTATTTTTCTTGAGACCAAACAATGATAAAATTAAGCTCAACCGAAAAAATAATTTATGACCTTGCTGCAAGTACTTGTCTTCTGATAAGTGAACTGTATGGTCACATATATTTTAATCCCCCAGGGTTTGAGAAACTAAGAATTTTCATAAAAACTTATACAAAGTGTGGACAGGACATGATTTCAGTGAGTTTTGTTTATTAAACAATACCAAATTACTTTCCTGATGCCAGTTACTCGTACATGAACATTTAACAAACAAATAGGAGAACACTGTAAAGATCAGATACCTGCCTCCTAATATTAAAATTTAAGAGTACAGCTATTAAAGCGTTTAACTAGAATGAATATAAATATATATAAGGATAACTACACTGTGAATTCAAAAACAAAAACAACAGGAGTTTAAACATACGTCGTTCGTAATAGATGGATAAATAAATCAATGAAATGTTGATTATTTCTTTCGGAATAACGGGAATATGGTATCATACAGTTGATCATGTTGTTTTACTCTAACAGATTACTTGTTTATCTCTTAAGGTAATTTCACAGATATTTAAACAAACAGATAGTGCGTAGAGGTTCTGTTGAACTGTAGATAGATAAAAATTTTATCCAGGTAGGTAATTATCAATGAAATTTCATTTCAATATTTACCAAATTATAAACAGATAAATTACCATGAATCAATCGACTTTTTGGATCTTCATTAACTATTGCTGAATTAACAATAGATGAAGCTTTTTTGGCATAACTAAAAATAGAAAATAAATAAACAATTTTCTAAGTGTATTTGCAAAAATTGTCTTTTATATAAACCAACAGAAAAAAAAAATGAGACCTACAGTTCACCTAAAAAGATTTCCCATGAAAACAATCGGGTTGGAAGGAAATCAAAAAATTATAAGCAGTAAACGACAGTCACAGCGACCAACAAAAATTAACTGGTGTGTAGTCTACATGCACAATATCATTTTAACATTAGATTAGATCTGAATTGAATCCAAACAACAATAGTTCGTACCGTAAAGTGCTCAATGTTTCATCATAATGAGTTTGACAGGGACTGATAGTTGCCAGCATTACTGTAACCGCATTGCCTCCTAAACTATCCTTCAACAACCTGAAACAAAAAACCGATAAGACATGGAAGTATTGTAAAACAATAACAGGAAAGATTAAACAAATTTTAAGTGCTCAATTAAACCGAACAAATGTATCGAAATAGATTCCTGATTCTATTACAGAAATTCACGAAAATCCCACTGTACCAAATGTGAACAGTCAGTCAGTTACAACGTAGAACTTCGTACGTTAGTACATCAACTCAGGTTGCCATAACGCATTAGCACAGAGACGCAACTGTCAGTTCAAATCCAATAGCGGTAGCGATAGTAGAAGATTGGGATTCGAAGATATGATTCAAGAAGTATAAAACAGTGAGATAAGTTTAGAAAGACAAAGGTATAGATGATGAGGAATTCAGAAGGTTAGAATTTCATAGAACACAAAGAGTGAATGCACCTCCGCCATTGCAAACGATTTGGAGCCCTGTCGTTCAAGGTCTCTAACTTTCGTCTCGCTGACCCCAACCAGGAAGCCTAAATCTACCAACATGACTTAGTCCACTTGTCAGTGACTTCATGGATTTCTGTCATGTTTTGGTCTGGCCGCCCCTAGCGTTCTTCCAACCTACTCCCACATCGCGAAACATAGCTCGTCGAGGCAGTCGGTGGTTGGGTATTTGTAAAACATGTCCCAACCACCGCAACTGGAGTTTAACTACTCCATCAATTGATCTACCATCCAACAGAATCACGCCAATCAATCCTATGTAAACCAAAGGGCAAAATGACAAAAAGAAAATCACCTACAAAATAAACTGCTCAGATGGTGAAAAACACTACATAGGACAAAGTGGACGTCCTCGTCAGCTTTGCCTACACGAGCATCAATTAGCAGTCAAGCGTCATGACATTTCAATACATACGGACAACCATGGACATACGTTCTTTAGAACAATGTTGAAATACTGGATAGGGGGAGGACAAAGAACACTAGAGAATTTTCAGATGCTTGGTACTCAAGTCAATCAGCAATCAACAAACACATCCAAATTGACCCAATTTACCAACCAATCTGAAAAATTATAGACAAACATAGGATCAAGAAACATTTCAAAGGGGAATACAATCAAAATAAGGGTGAAGACAATGACAGGTTTAGGGTCAATGACAACCAATCAAGATCGAGGTCAACAGAACAAGCTACGAGTGATACGTGGAGAAATTCGAATACTTCACTTCTATCTTAAGTTTGTGCTGATGTTGTTCAGAAGAATAATGAAAGCCCCACAATCCTTCACCTGAGCTGCATATTTTCTGCACAATCTCAAAAACAATACTCTAAATTCTTAGGTGGTATATTGAAATCATTTACAACACTGTTACGGGTGATTTGAAAAGAAAAATTTCAGATCTAACCATCGGGGAGAAAACGGGTCAATTGTAAGCCATGGGGTAGCGTCTTTTATCACCAGCATTTCTACTGACAAACTCCACCTGGAAATCTAGGGTCAGTGACATTCCTTAACTCGGATAAATAAGGGTTGGAGATTGGGTTAGCAACCGCATCCAGTAGAGAAAAACTTGCTAAACAAACGCCAATCAAGAAACATCTGAACTCTACTATGAGAGTTGAAAGGCCTTTATTTGGAAGAGTTATAACAACTCATATTGACAGGCACGTTTTGTCGGAAGTCACGAGTCGGATATTCTTTCCGGCGAACGATACAACTTGGTGGTACTTGGAATAAGTGAAACCCATTGGACTCTGACTGTACAAAAAAACTACTTTAGGAAAGATGCTGTTACACTCCAGTTGTGAAGAAGAAAATGACCCACACACAAAGAGTTGCACTGATACCTTCCAAACAAGCACAAAAACCGCTTATATGATGGGAATCTCAGGAACTTGGATCATCAAATCATCCTTGAAAACAAGTAAGGAGAGGATTGTAATGAATGTGACTAAGTGCTATGCGCCGAACAACATTTGCAGATGATGCATTCATTATCATAAGAAACTCTCTTGAGGAACTTTTCTAAGCTGATAAATACTTTTTCAGCTCACATAAAATCCACTTTCGAGAGTGAACTCAGTAAACTAACATTTTTAGACTGTTAAGTTAAAAAAAATTCGAATGGAAGTCTAAACTTAATCAGCCACCACACTCAAATCGATGTACTCAATGCGAAAATCCCATCGGCTTTAAACTTGATTTAAAGAGCGTCAAACACCATAACACCAGATGAAGGGAAACAAAAACACAAAAATATAATCAATATCATACAATTTAATAACTTTCCCATGAATATGATTAAAATTACAATAAAATGAAATATTCTTTTATTGAATAATAATAAATTGAAGGAACTATCATGATGGATTGGTACTGTAGTTCGATCACATCGTCATGATATGGCCGAAGAACTACAACGAATCTTTATATCACACAGAATGAAGGCATTCTATGAAGCAACGAACACTGCAATCCTTTTTCCAAACCAAGATAAAATCACTGTCACTCCGACACAACATTGTATCCTATAGAATAGGATGAGTAGATTGTGATGCATTCTATGTGGGAGAGTCTTTTCGTGAAACCATAACTCATGTCAAAGAACATCTAGGCTGCACATAAGACTAATACAGAATCTCATAGAACTAGAAAACCTACAAATCAAATCAGTAACAGTGATCCTTAACAACCATTAAATCTATATAATATTTAAAACGATATCCAGATTACAACGTAAGGCGAGTAGCTAGAGTTTTCCATATTTTGATTAACCCTACCGCATTTAACAGAAAGGGAGGTCTAATGGCCCATCTTACATGAACCATTTATCCAAATATCCATACAACTCAACTGTTCGCATCTCACACCACTAAGGAATATTTATAACCTAACTCTTCAACACTAGGATATCACATTCTTAATGCTCACTATGCCTCACACGAAAATTACCTTGACCGAAATGACATATCAGTATTGACATGATCCAGCGTATCCGAATTCCTATTGTATTAAAAATATTCCACCTTGTTATTTGCTCTATTTAAGCTTATGTGGATTTAATTTGTTTATTGTTTAAAGAAAGCTTTAACTGAATTATGAAGTTTCAGAAATCTAATTTTTACTTATTATGAGTTAACAAATATAGTAGTGTTATGACTAAAATGAAACTGTTAATTTTTAAATTAAGCCGAGTGGTAAAGCTTTTCATATTTTGATTAACCCTCTCAGTCAGAAAAAAGCGGCTACAGTTACTTCAAACTAGCGACAAAATGTCACGGAGGGTAAAAATGAGTATAATAAAAAACATGAGCATACAGTTAATGCATCAATTCAAAATTCATATGGCCACATATTCAATAACCAATCAATAATTAGATACTGGTCATGTGATACTGCTTAGGTGACAACCGGATGCAAAAAAATACGTGACACGACCACAAAACTTATTCCACAAACCAGGTTAACAAAGAATCACGATAAGAAACGAATTCCCGTCGTTTACTGATCAAACGGCACGGAGTAACTGAAAGCACTGGACAAGTATCCTGAACAAGCGAACGAGGTTCTGGGGATGGAAATGCTCTTTTCTTGTTACTAGTATTCTGAGAAAGTTGAGTGATTACTTTGCCAAGCGTAAACAATGATTTGTTGATTTGACAACTTTCCTAAAACGCATAGTGCATAAAACGGTGGACATATGAATTGCAAGCAAATTGAAGGAGATACTGACAACAAAACACTTTTTTAAAACAGTGTAAAATGATGCTAATATATGAAAAATCCAAATAACACACTTCAAGATATAAATAAAAGAAATGAAAGCTGATTCTGATAAATTTAACAACTACAGGAATTACTTAAACTAAAAATCAATATATTAAGCTTTTTGGAAATGAGATAGATCTATATCTCTTAGGTTTTTATCTATACTACTATGTGGTCTCAATTATTGGAAACTCTTTGCAGTCTCATGTCAGAGAGCTGATAATCTTATGGCTCAGTAAGACGTAAGTTATACAGAGAATAATAGTACTAGTCGATTCCAGTGCGATAAATGCGGGTCGTTCTTGTTATCACATCAGTATGTAATATTTAATTTTTACTCTAAGTTAAATGACTACTTCATTCTGAGATGGTGGGGAAAATTTGTAGCTCAGGTGGATGATTATGGTGGTGTTTGGTTCTCTGAGCTGGATGTTTCGGTTGTCGAGCTTTCCTCGTTCTTCTGAACAACATCATCAGCACAAACTTCAGATAGAAGTGAAGCGTTCGAATTTCTCCATGTTTGACCTGTAGCTTGTTCTGCTAACCTCGATGTTGATTGGTTGCTGTTGACCTTACACCTGTCGTTGTTTGCACCTTTTTTTTATTGTATCCCCGTTTTGATCTGTTTCTTGATCCTGAGTGATTGATAAATTGGGTCAATTTGGATGTGTTTGTTGATTGCTGATTGACCGGAGTGCCAAGGTTCTAAAAATTCTCTAATGTTCTTTGTCCTCCCCCTACTCAGTACTTCCACATTGTCCCAATCGAATGTATGTCCATGTATGTCCAGCACAGTGAGTAGATGCTATACATCTACACCTGCAAACGTTCCCAATCAGTAATACTTCCATGGTATTTTCCAACGTATTTGATTGATGAAGGATTCCACATGCAACCTTTACTTGTTGCTCTACAGGATAGACAATAAATTATTCGAATAATTGTAGTGATTCTGTGTGAATATCGCATAACCTAACGTTCCGATACGCTGGAAGTATTATACATAAATATGTGGAGACATTATGTAGTTAAAATACACAATTACTTGGTCATAACAAATATTAGAAAGGATAATTTATTCTAATATTTATACTGTTGAGTGATAGGTAGGTCATTAATACAAAAACCATTAACTCACTAGGTTTATCTAAATGTAGACCAATGTATTTGGGGTGAGTTATTTTTAATGATTTCATGTACTTATTATTTGCGTTGTTTTAAAGCTCATTTAAACAAATTTGGAGTGGTAATAAATGAATAACATAATCAGTTTCCTGTTCTTTCCAACTTTCTATAGCGAGAATGTACGTGATATATGGCAATTTTTAGTGAATATCTGCGAACTATCCGAAATTAGAAGTGAATACCACCAGCATTTTACTGGCCGATATCACAATTGATAGGATCTTTGAGCAGCTAGTATTTTAACACTCGGTAGGATGCCCAAGAAAGTAGAATTACTTATCAAAGAACATCGTGGCATTTGCGGTTAAGAAGTGTTTTCACTGAGATAAAAATACTACTCTGAAAATTAGACAGTGTTTAGCATCCGAACTCCGTCGTACAATCGAAGGTAGGGAGAGTCCGCTCTTCCTATTAAAACGCCTTCACATAGTCACGCATGTATAACCAATGCCAGGGAAGTTCTGCCTCACCACCTTTGCCGATGGAGGGTGCTTGCGAAATTTAGAGGATGAGAAACGTGTGTCCAGAGCCTGAACCAGATTAATGGGTTTGAAAAATCTATTTAGTGGAGTTGGAACACTCTTCTTCCAAACCGACGGTGCACCTGGGCTCCATAATCCTATAAGAATAAATGGTGTATACGGCTACTGTTGTTTACTGGCTACTATGGGACCACATTTAACGTTGTTCAACTGACTCAACCGCAGCTGCCACCTTGACACGGTGGTCGGGCTTGTCTATCGTGATGACCCAACCGAGATATATTGGTTAGAACATATGTTCCTTCAGGTCCTACCATGCCAGACAGGTCAACTGGAGAACGATGAGACTAAAAGCAGCAGCTCGAGGTGTGACGGCGAATTCATACTGCTGGCTATAGAGGGGGGTGACGGCAGTAGGGTGTCTTCCTCAGAAAACCAGCATTCACAGCGATGCTGACTTCTCTCAGGAAAGGAAGGGGTTAGGAAAGGTCGACCATAAAATGTCACGACCGACCTTATCCACGGATTTCCGTCTCCGGGGGTAAGGGTATTTGGAGAGCGGGGCTAACACGTTAAAAATTTTTCATAGAAAGGCCGTGTTTGACCGGCCTCAAGCAGTTGTTCGCTGGGCTGTGCGGTCACGTTTCCATGTTGATAAGACCACGGCTAATACGATTTCCCTTCCACATTCCTCAAGAAATACGCTTCTACGGTGTGGGTAGTCGAGAAGTGACATGCATCTTCATACCCGTAACAGCACACGTCACAACTCAACTGACTTGCAGATTGGACCTCTAGGTCAAGGGGTCACGGAGTGGTTTCGTAAGGAAACCATTTGTCTCAGTTCGGGCACTCAGGCAGTATGTCAGTCCACACAACAATTAAAAGGTTTGTGTGGAACAGCAATATTTAGGTGCTGCGTGCACTAATGTATAAGAATTTAGATGAACAAACAAGTAAACGAATCTTAGTATATGAACTATTTTGCAACACAACACAAATACAATATAAACTTACAATAAAACGTCCATTTAAGGTCGATGTAGATGTTTGACGTTCACTCCCGGCGAGATCAACAATGGTAATGTGACTATTATACACATTTTCAATATCTCCAAAGGGATAATTAGTCTGGAAAAGTTAAAATCAAATAAAACGAACGTAATCAAAACAAAACCGCGCCAAAACATATTTGAAGGCTCATATGGATCGTAATATTGTTTACTTTTTATAAGTTCAAGGAGTCAAAACCTATTCCGCGAATTTCGGAGTGAAATTATTGTTAGTAGTTGGGGATATTTTACAATCATTAAAAAATAGAATACAGCTTTATTGTTATTTTTCATAATACTATGATATAAAACTAACAGACCACTAAAAAAATATTTATTTTGATGAAAAGGATGTTTCATTATCAAGATAGTTTCGCAAGAATTCGACACTTCAAACTACTTTCCATGCGCTGTGTACCTGATGAGTTAATTCATCAATATTAGATCAACGAACAGAAAAAATACATCTACTTCAGAGATCACGGGAAATGTTTTGAAAGTATTATATTATGCAACAAGCTGGAATTTAACTTACGCTAATCACACAGACATATACAAACTGTTATTCATAAAGAATGGATTCAAAATTATAACCACCATTAACGATGCAACTGTACAGAATTATCAAGTAGTATGGATAATCGATTAAATGTCTAGCAAATCTGTTTGAAATTCTTAAAAAGTATTTCGTATGAGTGGATTGTATTGACCATATTTCGCAACAAACCAATACACAATTTTTGACATCTACACAATATAATAGTAAAACTTATGCAACTTACAGATGAACGCCTCGTTAGTGACAATACGAGTACGGTGTGTGACCGACTGCTGTTTTCATTCAGAGGAGTGGTAGCCACAGCACGTAAACGATTTCCAAAATCAAGTCGTTTAGAGATATCTGATTCAGACCAAACTTCTTCACATAACAAACCATCGATGTATGGACCAGTTACTGGATGTTCACGAACTACAAGCTGAAATTTAAGGAATGAATAATACGAATAATAAAAAAAGATTCACAACTATTAGACAAAAACAAACCTCTAATAACGATTAGGGCACCAGAAACTTTAATTCAAAAAGTAAAAGTTCTCTTATTAAGTTAGAAAATATAGGCGATGTTCTGAAAGACAGTTACTACGACAAGAGTTCAGCGATTCTGTAAAGCTGCGCAAGGCATCGTTTATAATGATACTTCGAGATGAAATCTTTCCAGAATATGAAGACTGATAAGCTAAAATAAAAAACTACACACTTTTTCTAAGAAGCAGAATTATGTTGATCTGTTGATCACGAAACTCCATCATCGTAACTAATGAGAGTCAATCCAACACACATTCTGGTATGATGAATATACTTCAGCTCGTGTTTTCATACTCTACAAGCAGGACTACATGAAATTAACTTAGTAGTATCAAGAATAAAACTGTAAATTAAAATGACGAAAATTTAAAATATTATTAAATCTTCAGATCAGAAGAAAGATAAAAACTGAACGCGTTTGTGTCGTAATGGATTCTGATTGTCAACGGCATTTCGTGTCTTCAAACAGTAACTCACGATCAAACTAGAGCCTGGCACGGATGTGCGTTAATGAACCTTCCACAAAGCACTCGTTCAGCAAGTCATCTACAACGTAGAAATTCGTACAAATTATTTCAAGTTCCCCTACCACGCAGGCACAGAGAGGTCGATTTGTCTGTTGAGCTCTGTGGTCACGCTCCCAGGTCTCTAAGATCAATACTAATCCAACTTTTTTCACGTTCCTCAAAAAATACCCTTTCACGGTGTGAGCAACCGAGTAACTAAATCTGCCCTCATACTCGTAACAGCACGCGAGACTAAACTAGTCATAATCAAATTTTCCCTACAGATTTTAATAATCCTTTTACCTAGACAACAAAACATCCTCACGTCCCTTTATCAGCTTGCGCCGCTAATGTAAATAATTTGAGTACGCAAAACGTTAATTCTATTCTCAAGAAACCACACTCTAAACAACATATTGGTGCTTTATTGTTCGAACCTTATACAAAAAATAGGACAACAAGCTTCCTTAGCTAGGACTTCAGAATCTTGCGCTATCGATATATGCCGCGTCTCCGAAACGCGCATACAGGATGAGTGATCAAACTGACCTAACCTTATCCAGATAAAGAACTGACTCGTTCACATTGCATGTATATGGAAGTCCTGCTACTGCTTCCTATAGCCACACTGCTGTAAATATATCATTGAGTCCAGGGGCAGAACTAACTCTCTTAAACTGAATCCCAGTAAATAGCAGTAAATTTCAAATTGCATAGTAGCAGAGGTAGTAAAAATGTTACCAGTATTCGGAAAGATCACGGGCCCAAGATATTAATCAATTAGAACAATCTAGTGGAATAAACTTGAAAAATAAAAGATGAAGGTCATGAAGAATTAAGAAAATTAGAATTTGAGAGAACATAAAGAATGGATTCACCTGCGCCATTACGAACGATTTTGAGGCATGTCATCCAGGGTCTCTAACAATCGACTACCATTATCACGCGAACCCCAACCACGTAGTCTACGTCTATTAACATGACTCAGTCCATTTGTCAGTGACTTCATGGATTTGTGTAATGTTTGGTCTGGTCAACCCTAGCTTTCTTCCAGTCTACTCCTACACTGCAAGACATAGCTCGATGAGGCAGTCGGTGGTTAAGTGTTTGTAATATATGTTCCAACCGCCTCAACTAATGAAGTTTCATTACTTCATCTATTGATCTGCCATCCTTACCTAGCACCCGTTTCTCAATAACAACATCGCTCACTCGGTAGTCCCAGGATATACGAGCAATGCTTCGAAGACACCTATGATCGAAAACAAGTAACCTACGAATATCTTCTACTCTCACTGGCCATGTTTCACAGCCATAAAGTAGGACGGAGCGAACTGCTGCGTGTAGGAGTAGACTGGAAGAAAGCTAGGGTTGACCAGACCAAACATTACACAAATCCATGAAGTCACTGACAAATGGACTGAGTCATGTTAATAGACGTAGACTACGTGGTTGGGGTTCGCGTGATAATGGTAGTCGATTGTTAGAGACCCTGGATGACATGCCTCAAAATCGTTCGTAATGGCGCAGGTGAATCCATTCTTTATGTTCTCTCAAATTCTAATTTTCTTAATTCTTCATGACCTTCATCTTTTATTTTTCAAGTTTATTCCACTAGATTGTTCTAATTGAATAATATCTCGGAACCGTAATCTTCTCCTTTACCATTAGTACTTCTACTATCTCTAGTAGCATGGGATTTGAATTGACAATTGCGTCTCTGAGCTAGTGTGGTATGGCAACATGAACTGATGTACCTACGTCCGAAGTTTTACATTGCAGCTGACTGTCTGACTGACTCAAACAAGTAGTCAATGAATCCATAACCAGTATACCATAATATGTGATGGCTGAGAACTTGTATTAAACATGTTTTCGTTTCCAAATTGTACAAATACTGGTACTGTGACTTCTACTACTCACGAAGTCTTCCTGACAAATTTATTTCGCTATGCTAATGCGGTATAGTAACTTGGAATGTTACACCGATGTGCCAGGTTATACAATGCACATGAGCTCTTAAAGAAAACTACGGATACAAAAAACATCTACCCACAGTAGTCCTATTTAAATTTTTGTTATCTAACGGCGTAGAAATAAAAATTCAACCGTTTTATGACAACTATTATCCAACCTTAGTGGAGGTTAATCTTAAAACAAGTTGATATAATTTTCATCTTACCCCGTGTTTGGTTGAATTTGACGAAAGGAGGTCACGTATCCGTTCATTATATATCTCATAATAACTCATTTTGACAGAAAAGCTTGTATTGGATTCCTAAATGGACATCAAACAGCATCAACTATAAGAATACCGTTCTTCTCCCAATTTCCTCAAATACGTCTTTTGAGATTCTTTGGATTATTCCCGGATCATCAGGAGGACCAGTAGTACTACATGTAAAGGAGAGAAAGGATATTATTCAAAACACAGACAGAAAATCATCATAAAAATGGAGGTTCTATTAATGTTAATGGACTTGTAACACTAAAATTCGAGACGCAATGGACATTGTAGTATGAATAACAAAATAGTTTAACGATACAAAATGAAGTACCGTCTCCATAAATATGACTGGGTAATGATATGTTCAAGAACTCATTTTGATTTCACTAGTATTTTGCTGTTTAATCAGATAAATGTAATTTTAAAATTACCACAACTTTTTGACTGATTACTAGAACTTAAAAGAATCAATTGAAATACCAAACTAAAAATGATTTAGTAAACTAAGTAAATATCCACCAACATTCTTTAAATGTATTCTACTAGTAGGAAGATTGATTTGTTAACTGGTTTCTGTACTTGGATTTCAGCAAAATTTTATAAGTACTAAAAATACTACCCTAGTACCTAGAAGAATTAGGTGAACTGGATCACAGATACACAAATTACTGATCGAAAGATCATTTTTTTATCACAAGGCTATTGCTTCACGCTAATGAACTAACAAGAGAACAAACAAATGAGGCAAACAATGGTGATAGAATATGCAGTTTTAGTGGATTTGGGATTTGAAGCAACTAAGTCTTCTAAATATAACGCAGACACAACGAAGGTTATAATACAGTGTAGCAAAATCTGAAATCATAAACTAACTAGATACTAGTGAAGACGATCTTGTGATATATACAAACCATTTGCATCTCAAAAATAGCATCTTATTTCAGGCATCTAATATAACCAGCCCTTTCATCTGATATATATATATTTTTATCGAATGACGCAGTCAGCGTTCTTAGTTATGAACTTGTCAGTAGAACATGCCAACTAGTTAAATACCCTATAGTCTTAACCAGAATCCTGTTGCGTTTAAAGAGCAGAATATAGACGATTCTATTATTTAAACTTTAAAAGGTCTAAACTAAATTCTTAATTTATAGGAGCCTACAACGGTGACTTAGCACTGGACCGCCGATGCACCTACTTAGGCTTGGAAGGCCGTGTAGTCCCAACGATTTAAAGCCTTCAAAGCGAGTTATAGGCTACTAAAACATGAATTTTAACCCAATTTGGGTATTTCAACCTGAACTAAGCACGAAAATTTACTGTAATTGTGGTTGAAACCTTCTAACCACGCCGCGAAGGACTGCATATGCAACATTAGCACTGTTTATGCGTTTACGTAGACAGGGCGAACACTCGCTTATGCGAAAGTTATTTGCTCAATAAAAACAAATGCATGGTTGACGCTGGTGTGTCAGTCAGTCACTCAGTTACAACGTAGAACTTTGCACGTAAGTGCATCAGTCCAAGTTGCTATACCACATGAGCAAAGAGATATAATTGTCAATTCAAATCCCATAGTAGTAGAGGTAGTAAAAGTATTAGAAATAATCGAAAAGATTAGGGTTCGAATATGTTATTCAAGAAGTATAATTCAGTGGGGTAAATTTAGAAAGACAAAGATAAGTGATGAGGAATTCAGGTTAGAATCTCATAGAATAGAAAGAGTGGATCCAACTGCGCCACTGCAAATGGTTTTGAGCCATGTCACTCAGGGTCTCTAACCATCGATTACTATTATCTCGCGGACCCCAACCAGATAGTCGAAACTTACCGACATGACTCAGTCCACTTGTCAGTAATTTCATGGATTTGTGTCATGTTTTGGTCTGCACCCCCCTAGCTTTCATCCAAGCTATTCCTATATCGCAAAACACCTCGACCAGGCAGTCGGTGGTTAGGCATACGCAAAACATGTACCAACCACCTCAACTTATAAAGATTCAATACTTCATTTATTGACCTGCCATCCATAACTGGTACTCGTTTCCTAACAGCATTGCTTACTCGGCTGTCCCACGATACTCGAACAATACTTTGGAGATACCTATGATCGAAAACCAGCAATCTACGAATATCTTCTACTCTGACTGGTCATTTTTCACAGCCATAAAGTAGGACGGAGCGAACTAATGCGCTGATTTGAAGAAAAACTGGTCGGTAGTGAGAACCCACAAGAGCTTTGGAACCCAGAATAGCAAGCCCTAGGATGCTGATATATCTGACTTTCTCCCAATAAAACTCTATTTTTCAAATATTCATATAATAAAAATCAAGGATATCTACCTGTATGTTTTCCCAGAAGAGGTCATCCCGTAAGCGAAGAGGCATGCATTGTAACCTTCCAAAGCCTTCGATAACAGTGGAAACCCAAGCGTCTGGTACACCAACTCTTGACTTGCATATGGCACAAGACCAGACTCATTGTTAAGTGACCAAAATGTGTGGTCGAATTGGAATTCACGAATATTTTTACTTCGAACGTTAGGATCGATCACATGAACAACACCTGGTTTAGGAAACTGAATAGGGCACTGAAGGCCATCTAATGCCTCCCTGAATATTTAACATTAAGTTAATCTTCTTACTGTTTCGTAAAAGGTCTTATCCTGACAGCCACAATTATTGGCGAATCCATAAAAAAAATACTCTCGATTCGAATAGGTTATCGTGTCCTTTAAACAAACACACCCAATATCCAATATCTATTTTACAATCTAGTATAAACTAATTGATTGATCTGCGATCGTATCTTGTTCTTTCAGTACAATTTCAGATGTTCTAGAATTCAATATTTGTGATCTTTTGATCGTGTTAGCAAAATATCGGGAGACCACTACATTTACTTATCTTTGCTATCTGTGCATCTTACTTACTTACTGTGGTTCCCGTTGATAAATGTGAATAGAGAAATAAGAAGACATATTTTGTGAGATAGTACCATTTCGTGCTTTCTCGTCAGTCACATACAAGCAACATGTTACAAGCACATGTAACTGCGGAGAAAGTTACTTAGGGAGGACAGATCGCCGATTGGAAGACAGGATAGGGGAACATATTCCAAAATGGTTAATCAAATCCATGATTAATCAACCTAGCCCATCATTTCAAAATCGATCAAGAAACCCAGCCTCGTCCATTGCAAAACATCTAATGATGAGTGGTCATCAAATTGATCCAAAATCAGCCTTTAGAGTTGTGACATGTAATCAAAACCCACACACACTAAAACTACTTGAAGCTATCTTGATTGGTCGTAAAAGTCCAACTTTATGTGTTCAAAAACAACTGTATGTTGACCTTTGTTTACCATGGTTCTAGTGAGTGAATGTCATGCTAAATAAGAAATTTTGACCTTATCTTCAAAACTGTATTTACACAAATAACATGTTGCTTGTATGTGACTGACGAGAAAGCACGAAATGGTACTATCTCACAAAATATGTCTTCTTATTTCTCTATTCAAATTTATCAAAGGGAACCACTGTTTTGAATTTCTAAAAAGGAGACTCCCACATTCTACCATCAAAAAGCTGCACCAACTAGTCAACTTGAAGTGTAAATTAATGGTTGAGAAGGTCAGGTTGGAATTTCTAAATAAATGTATTATTGACAACCACTTCCCATGGATTTATAACAAAATGCTTCGACGAAATAAAGTGCGAATAACAAGTTCGAGTCTGAGGAAGTTAACACGAATTCAGATTGATTCTTGCATTGACAAAATAAACCAATACAAAGAAACTAACACACATTTCATAACACTTATTGAACAATTATCCATCATTTGTCATATTAAACTACTAAACTTCTGCAAAGATATATTAGACAGAACGGCGAACCGAACATGGACGAAACTTAACCAGTCGCTATCAAAGACCCGAACGATTTCAGAATTTCCAGAAAATCTCACAGAATGTGTTCACAACCTATCTAACTTCAATCTTGACAAGGTTCACCTAGAAGCTCTTTCAATGGGACTAAATTACAATGTACCACCTAAAAGAATCGATAAGAATTTGGTGGACGCCAATTTCGAAAACCTCTACAGCCAGTTCTCAAATTTGACTCCAACATCAGCTGAGAATGAGGCATGGCTCAAAGTCAAATTAGTCGATATATCCCAACAATTTGCAAACACTCCTATCAACCAAAATTCTTGTCTAACGAATGAGCACGAGGAAGCATTGAAGGAACTTAAGAACAATCCCACAATAACAATCTCCAAACCAGACAAAGGTTCCGGTGTAGTAGTCATGAATAAGGATGACTACATAACGAAAATGAACGTGATCCTCTCAGACTCAGCTAAATTTAAATCAGGTTCACAGGTCGATAACGTGAAGTTGGTCGAAAAACAGATATGCCGAGAACTACATCTACTCATGCTCCATGGTTTTATCACCGAGGCCCATTATAAAATGCTCAAGCCCATTGGTACATGCACACCACAAATGTATGGCTTACCGAAACTACACAAGCCTACAACACCTATGAGACCAATTCTTTCCATGATAAATTCGCCATACCATAAGCTAGCAAAGTGGCTGAAAGAAATTTTGGATCCTGTTTGTAAACAACTGTCGACAAATACTATCCTCGATTCCTTTGAACTTCTCCCAACTTTGGAACACTTAAATATTTCTAATAGTCGGATGTGTTCTTTCGATGTAAACTCTTTATTCACAAATGTACCTCTCGAAGAAACTGTGGAATTTATTTGTGACTTCATAACTTCACACAACATAAGAATACCCATTCCTACTACCTATCTTCGAGATCTAATTTTGCTGTGCACAAAGAATATAAAATTCTATTTCCAAGGTAAAGCATATACACAAATCGATGGAGTGGCAATGGGAAGCCCTCTCGGACCTGTTTTAGCAAACATATTCATGGGAATGATAGAAAGGCAAGTGAGTCACTTCATCGATGGTATTACACTTTACAAACGATACGTCGACGATATTCTTGTCATATTACCACATTCTACAGACATTAATTAAATCAATGATTTATTTAATGCGATTCACCCGAATCTGAAAGTCACTTATGAGGAAGAAAAGAATAATGAATTAGCCTTCCTCGATATCCTGCTCCATCGCCGTCCAGACGGATCAATCAGGCGAAAAGTACACCGTACATCGTCCATTGCAAAACATCTAATGATGAGTGGTCATCAAATTGATCCAAAATCAGCCTTTAGAGTTGTGACATGTAATCAAAACCCACACACACTAAAACTACTTGAAGCTATCTTGATTGGTCGTAAAAGTCCAACTTTATGTGTTCAAAAACAACTGTATGTTGACCTTTGTTTACCATGGTTCTAGTGAGTGAATGTCATGCTAAATAAGAAATTTTGACCTTATCTTCAAAACTGTATTTACACAAATAACATGTTGCTTGTATGTGACTGACGAGAAAGCACGAAATGGTACTATCTCACAAAATATGTCTTCTTATTTCTCTATTCAAATTTACTGTCTTTCGGTTGTTACCACAGATAGACCATAGGCCGCCAACAGGTTTTCTCCAACTTACTTTGTCCCGGACTTCCCTTTCTAGTTCTTTCAAATTTTTGTTCAGTTTTCTCATCTTCATTTCTCAGCGTTATGTGTCCCTTGGCATTCTTCTTTTCCTTTGACCTTCTGGATTCCAAGTGAGGGCTTGTCTTGTGACGTAGTTGGATGCTTTTCGCCATGTGTGTCCAATCCACTTCCACCGCTTCCTCCTAATTTCCTCCTCCACAAAAATCTGGTAGGTTCTTCCCCATAGAAGGTAGTCGCCGATGGTGTCCGGCCAATGAATCCGAAGTATTTTGCGTAGACAACTGTTCATAAATACTTGTATCTTCTGGATGATGGCTGTGGTAGCTCTCCAAGTTTCCGCTCCATATAGTAGAACTATTTTCACATTTGTATTGAAAATCCTGATTTTCGTGTTGAGTGATATTTATTTGGAGTTCCAGTTATTTCTCAATAGCAGCCCTTGCTTTGACTATTCACGCCTTCACATCTGCATCGAATCCACTCTGATTGTCGATGATGCTGCTCAGATATGTAAAGGTTTTGACGTCGTCCAAAGAATCTCCATCAAGTGTGATTTGGTGGGCGCGTGTCGTGTTGAATCGAAGAATCTTACTTTTCCCTTTATGTATGTTGAGACCTGCTGCTACTGCTCTGGTCGTCTTCTCCTGAAATTATTATTGAGTATGAAATAGCAGGGCCAGATCATCATATGCAAAGTCCAGATCGTGTAGCTGCATCATGGGTGTGCACTGGATAACGGCTTCCTCCAGATGTTGACGTCTTCATGATCCAGTCGATCACCAGTAAAAAGAGAAAGGGTCACACTAAACAACCATGTCTGACGCCGGTCTTCAACTCAAAGAAGTCTGTTGGCTGGCCTCTGTGCACGATTTTGCAGATGAATCCATCATAAGAAGTCCGTATGATGTTGACTGTTTTCTCAGGCACGCCGTAGTGTCGAACAAGCTTCCATAGTCTTTTCCTGTCCACGCTATCGAATGATTTCTTGTAGTCAATGAAGTTGATCTATAGTGATGAGTTCCATTCTATTGATTGTTCCGCAGTGATCCGTAATGTTTTGATTTGAATGGTACATGATCAATCCTTGCGAAATCCGTCCTGTTGATCTCGAAGTTGGGCGTCTACAAATTCATTCGTTCTGTTTGACTATACCCTATTGATGACTTTGCCTGGTATTGAGAAAAGAGAGATGCCTCTATAGTTCTCACACTTGCTGAGATCGCCTTTCTTTGGTACTTTGATAGGGTATCCTTCTTTCCAGTCTGATGGTACTTGTTCCTCATCCCAAATCTTTTTGAAGAGGATGTGAAATATGTTCGCAGTTGCTTCCACATCTGCTATCATTACCTCTGCTGGGATGTTGTCTGAGCCCGCTGTCTTGCCGCTCTTGATATTTTTGATGGCCATACTGATCTCTTCATTCCTTGTGGATATACTTCTTGTGGCTGAGAACCTCGTGACATTTTGAAATGAGTGCTTCCCTGATCCCTTTTCAATTGTTCTCCATTGAGTAGATCTTGAAAAGCCTGAAACTTATCGCTGGGATTAGTTGAGATTTACGGTATCCTGGAAAAAGGCCGTATTAAACTTGCGTGATGTTGTTCGCCTCGTTGTCCAGTGTTTCTTGAGCTTCAGTTTCATTTTATCGACCAGCAAGTGGTGATCTGAGGCTGTATCAACTCCTCTCTTGGTTTGCATGCCCTCCTTTGTCTTTCCGAATTTTCATTGATACATATATGGTCGATTTGGTTCTGAGTAGTGTGATCCGGTGAAATCCATCTGGCTTTGTGAATGCGTTTGTGCGGGAATATTGTGCCACCAATGACCAGTTTGTTGAAGGCACATAGGTTTGCAAATTTCTCACCGCTTTCGTTCCTTTTTACCAGTCCATGTCGTCCCATGATGTCTTCATATCCAGTGTTGTCCATGCCAACCTTGGCATTCAGGTCTCCCATCAGAATGGTCAAATCCTTTATAATAATAATAATATCTTGAACTGAGACTAATTCCTTTTAGTTTTATCGAGCACTTCGTTGATGCACAAGATTTTCACGCTGTAGTAAACAAAGCGGCAACCATTCTAAAGTACACAGACCTGACCACAGTCGAGCAGCCGTGC